GCAACATGCAACATACAACATGCAACATACAACATGCAACAAGACATTGCATTCACCAACTCATTAGCTGTATTTGGAATTGTGGTTATAAAATGACGCTTTCATTGTCAGTATACTTACTTGGCCCTAAAATTCTGCTTTGGTCGAAAAGATCCAGTTGTGCTATGACAATCGGCAGAAAATATACACTACCAAACAAACATAGATGCGTGATCTGAAAGAGAAGAATCGGCAATATCTAACTATATAAAAAGGAATAACAAAATTACACCAAAAGGGCCATTCTTCTCTATAATACTTCCACGGCATTTAAAGTTTAACTGGGAGTTTAACTGGAAAAAAAACTAGATTCTTGGGCAATTCTATTTGGAACAAAATGAAACAAATTGATCGATACAACATCTACATTTTCTAAGGCGTTCGTTCGGATATGCAAAACAAAGTCCCATCAGAAGGCAGCTACGGAGATCGAGGGATAGTAAATTCATGTAGTATAGTTTTCATGTCCTGACTTGATGCTGTCTATCGTATTTGGTTCTTGCTGTTCGTTAGAACATTCACGGTTTAGGTCTCTGGTTATTCATTTTGGTTTCCCCAAGGTTAACACTTAGCCATTTCATTACTTAACAATTACTGCATTGAAAAAGTGAATATCCACGAGCGGCGAGGCAGATATTCTCCAATATTGAGGCAAATACTGTAATTGTTTTAGTATAAATACACAGGTGATTCTTTCAACAAAAAAGAAATAAATAAATAAAAGAGACATTTTACCCCGGTAACAGTAACAAAGCGGCTGGCCGCCATTTTGGATTATCGCTGGAGGTGATTATCGTGTGACAGTGTGAGTTTCTCGACCAATCAGCGCGCGAGATTTTCAATAATCACCTGTGTATTTTTATTAAAAAAGAAGTTAAAACTGTGGCGCTTGTTCAAACCGGATCATGGAATTTTAAATAGTGGACGTTTTTGTAGGGAAGATAACCAATAAAGTACTCGGCGAAAAGCCTTCATATCAAGCTTTACTCTATTATATGTTAGTGTCGAAGTTGGAAAAGAGAAAGCTCACTCCATATATGGTATGATCAATTCCATATTTAGATTGTGCGGAAAAGCGGCAAACAAAAAGGCCTTCGTTTTATAACGAATTCGACATGAACATTTTTGAAGAAGAAAAGAAAAGAAAAAAAGGAAAGTAAAAAAAAAAAAAAAATTTGGAAAATTGAGGAAGGATACGGGGACTATGCTAACTCGTGAGTCTGCCTCGCAGGCAACAGACGCAGGGAAATACGACACTCAATGTTTGATATACAAAATACAGTAGAGAACCGGCAAAAAAGTCTACCCACAAAAGGAACAAATGATAGCGAGTTCGAGAGCTGAAACTCTCGACTTTAACAGCAGCAGCCAAATCCAGCCTATTGGAAACCAACTAAAGCCTCTTCACGTTTATCTTTTAATGCATTAGTAGAGTTAATATACTTATTTAGAAAGCGCAAGTCGGAAATGTTTAGTTGACAGAGCATCGACAATCTTTAAAATTCTCCATGTTCATAGCATAATACAAGAAGACTTCGTCACCACCTGCGAATGTCATTGTGTCGACAGACTACCCATTCGTGAAAAACACTTATAAACATTCATGATATAACACTTTTTTGTCGCAAAGAGATGAGATTGTAATGTGGTTTTGTTCTGAATCTTCTAAATGTCACATAAATAAAACAAACGAACAAAGAAAAGAGCTCGAGAAAGACATAATAATGAGTTTCATTTAGGAATAAGTAGACTTTATTATTATCTATAGGCCAATGTACAATGTTCAGCTTAATTTTTAAATACTTTCCAAAAATATCCTCAAATGTATGAAGTTGGTTTCAGTAGCAAATTAAAATGGTTTGAGAAAGAAAGCATATTTTACTTAGGAAAGATGGTGCTCTATAAGGGATAATTGGAAAGCAGGGATGGCGTACTCTGCTAATGGGCCTCCTCTCGCCTATGCGACACGGGTTCGAGTCCAGCCGAGCTCGGTGTCGTATGCGAGTGTGGTTCTCTCCTGTGCTTCGAGATTTTTCTCCAGGTTCTCCGGTTTTCCTTCATCTACAAAAATCAACTTCTAAATTCCAATTCCATCTTTGGGCTTTCACCTAGTCGGAACCTTGCTCTGTTGTATTTGTCCCACCCTGTGATACAACGTGCCCAGCTCAAGCTTAACATATTTAGATTTTTCAAAATACGTATTGAAGAGAGCATGCGCATACTACCAGATTTATCGGCGGCAAACGAGTCGAAATCCTAAGATTTACAGCCGGGTATCTCCGTTATCTACATATCACCTTTTAAAAAAACGACGACCGGATCTTTGAGCTCTTACTAACTCGCGCTGTCGATTGAAATCAATCGTAGCTAAACAAAAACTTATTAAAAAATTAATTAAGAGACAAATTTCCTTTTGAGATAAAATTTTTCTTATTTTTTGCAATATCCGTAAAGTAAACTTGCGTTTGTATAATGCCTTAATGGTTAGATGAATGATTTACATAGGCTAACAATGTCGCTTTGTGAGTTTACACTACGGCTTATCACTAGCTTGTATAAATGGTTTTCACCGGTTGCTAAAGATTTGAAGCAGCTGCAAAGGCGCCGACTAAATCATTATTTTATTATTTATATTTATATATTTTTATTTCACCCATGTCCTATTTTTTCAATATTTATATTTTATATGTTTTTAATATTTATATTTCACCAGTTGCTAAGGAATTGGAGCAGCTGCGATGTTGGCGATACTTCAAAAAAACTAGCAATGGCGCCGACTAAATTATTATTTTATTATTTGTATTTATTTTATTGTATTTATATTTGTATTTATTAATTTTTTTAAATTTCTTATTCCTCATTATTTATATTTTATATTTCTAATCAGTATTTATTTCAAGCTTGGTCTGAATTCGCATCTTCTGTGCTATATTCATAAACTTTGAAGTCAGTGACTGACTTCAAATGAAAATGATGAAGTTTTATTTTATTTCATTATTTTATTCTTTCTTTATATATGTATATGTATTTATATTGATATAGATTATTGAACAAAAGTATTTTTATTACTATTTACTATTACCATTATTATTATTATTATCTCCATGATCATTATTATTATCACCATTATTATCATTAACATTATAAGCATTATACGTTCACCTTGTCGTTGTGAACTATAGCTAACAGCGTTATTAGTAGATCATTCAAGATAAGCTCTCTCGTTAACTGAGCCTGAGATCAAATGCTAATATAAAGCTAAGGTCAACTCGAATGATCAGGAACGGCAAGTGTAAACTTTATTCGCTCCCAAGAATATATCCTATAAGCGATATCATTTTAGAATTAGAATTAAGTCCCTAACTTGAGCCAAGTTGCAGTGAGCTACGATTGCAGTTCGGGCAAATGTAAACTTTATTCGAATTCATTCCCACAAGAATATATATCCAATGAAAACACTGGTAAACGCTATTTAGAATTAGAATCTAAGTCCCTAGCATAAGCCAGCAAAGCCTTATGTGAGCTAAAATTACAGATTAAGTGTGCTTAAGGTCAAAGGGAAAAAAGAGAAAGAAAAGAAAGAAAAATGACAGAGATAACAAGAAAACACTCCAAACACACACACACAAAGTGAGTGAGGGAGAGAGATACTTAACCGAGTTTTGTAAACCTTGACTTCTGTTTAGTGCAAGTTCCTTTGAATACTTGTAAAGTATACTTAAATGTGGGAATCCTACAGCTTAACTTTGCACAATTATGAGAATAGTAAATAGTAAATACTATAACCTTTTTTCTAGGATAAAAGGCTTTCATCGTTGAGAATGTGTGAAAAACGGAAGAAAACGTCTACAAGTGAGTGACACATTCGATTGGAAATAGAAACATGGACTTAATCAAGTGAATTTTGCAAAGTTGATCTTGTAGGATAACTGACTTCATCAGTCCATCCCCCAAAAAGAGGAAAAAGAAGAAAAGAGAGAAAAAAGGAAAGAAAAAGGAAAGAAAGAAAAAAAAACTGAAAAATACAAAAACAAAAAGAAAGAAAAACAAAAAGAAAGGAAAACGAACAGAAAGAAAAAAAACGAGAAAAAGAAATAAAAAACACGAGGTCACAAAAATCAAAAAATAAAAATTCAAGAGCATCAGCTACTCACAACGTCGATAAGAATAAGGTTTTTTGTTCTTAGAAAGAATAAAAAGCAGATCAAAAACAGATGGCAAAGTTGGGGAAAAAGCGTGCATAGCGTACCGTTGACATAAAATATCTTGAAATCAAAAATTCGGAAATAACATTTCAGCAGTTGTGAGATCTAAGATTTCAGAAATTAATATTCGTGGAAGGACATTTAAAACTAAAACTTTCTCTCAATACATTCGTTTTCTATAATTTTGTTGTATAATTTCTGCGGGTTTTTTTAAAATTTACTCTTACTGCCTATTTTCCGGATAATTTGTTTTTCTATCAATAAACTTTAACAAAAATAATCCCTAATTAACCCTAGCTTTCGTTAAAGAAAAATCCTAGTATTTCATCTTAAAAATGTGAATAAACTTTTTTTGAAAGATGCAAAACTGATCTGAACTGTTTTTGTCATGACAACCGAAAATTATTCGATGCGATGAAAATCATTATTTCTGCAAAGAATTCCTTTTTGAAATCAACCAAAACTAGGCTTTAAATATAATCTAGTGTAAGTGAAACTACTTCCTTATAAATATACAGAGTACAAATACTCACCGTTAAGGGACGCATTTTCTGTATCTTGCGCTTTCGAAGGTGTTGAATTGAGCGGCACGACCTCGTTATCTCAGTGACGATAGTACCTGAAGATTAGAGGCGGTTGCTGCAACGTCAGTGATTTCAGCTCGAGTTATGTTAATTTGAATAGAGTGTAGTTTATATATACAGTGCTAATAGTTTGTTAGTTGGATATCCTTTTTCGATTGAAGCTGTTTGACTCTCTTTGTTTTCTACATTTCCTTTGAAATTTGAATTCTAATGGAAATTTGTCAACGTAAATATGCTACTAGGAAACGCGGAAATTTTGCTGAACATATGCTTCATCATCTCTTTACGCTAACATATCATATTGCTTGGCACGAGACTGATATGTGACATAGAAAATAAATTTCATATTTTATTCCAGTTACGCCCATTTTGTATGTAGATAACTTTGGTTAGTTTGGAGGTCGCCTTCTGCAGCGACTGTTGTTTTTGTTGTTTTTGTTGTTATTGTAGCTAGTGCTGGTTAGGAGGCTGCTTATATACATGTATTGATTTTAGTGTATTTAGTGTTTTTTTTTTTTTTTGTTTTTGTGTTTTGTTTTTGTTTGTTTTTTTTGTTGTTGTTGTTGTTGTTATTTTAGTTTATTTTTAAAGTTCCTACGACACATCTGATAACATTCTCGGCGTGGATTCTACATAAGGTGAGCTGTTTAATGACCACAAGAAAAAATAGTTTGAGTGACGGGCCTTGAAGTTATAAAGGCTTGTCCTCGTCGTATGCTAATGAGTCATGTGACGTCACGAGAGTCATTACTTTTTTTCCTTCCATATATAAAACTTACAGTCAAAACGGCTCAAGCTTACTCCCTAAATGCCATTAATAGTTTCATTATTTGAATATTGAAAATTTATTACTCTTTCTGAGAATACGAGGACTCAGGATTCAAAATAATAACGGATTCAATTCAAATTCTGATTGAATTATTCCATATAAGGAATTTGAGTTTTGAATCGTTTATTATTTTGAATCCTGAGTCTTCGTATTCTCAAGATGCATGAAACTCGGCAAAGCTACGACACACTAAGATTACCTACGCAGTGAATGTTAACATGAACTGATTAATTAGTGGACGACACAAGCACACTGAACCCGTTATATTTGGCACTCGATTCAAATCTCGCGTAATTATTAGTTTACCTGTGATTCTAAGTGTCGGCTGTCGTTCGATTAATTTCAATTTACTGCTTGTGTAAACTAAAAGAAGGTTATATTTAAACCAAAAGACATTAAAAAAGGTTCAGCTGACAGTTTGCTGTGCCCTTGCTTTCGGATCAGCACACTGAGGTTGTTTCAAAATCGAAAAAAAAAGTCTATTCGGGATTTGGACGTGCAATGTGAAATGTGAGCTATACATGACTGCCGTTTCGGTTGATGTAGTAAAGGTTGTAAACCGTTACCTCGGTAGATATGAGAACGAGGTGAGGATGAAGGTTGATATATATCGTATCTACCGAGGTATGCTGTATATAAACGCCCTATATCATCGTTGGGAAAGTTTTTTAAAACGGTGTTGATTGAACTAGATATCAACCTGGACATTCTTTTGTTTAATGAAATTGGGTGAATATGAAGGAGAAAGACTGCCAGTGAACAAAAGAAACTGATCAATGATGGTATAAATAATATAAGGTGGAAATCTTTCGTCATCGCCAACCAATATGGCGGCTGTGACGTCATGTGCACCCAAAGGATAGCAAGGCTGTAAGTTGCTGTTCGACACAATTTTCCGATTTCGCCTTCGAATGACTTCTACACCGGTGTGTTTCATAAACTGATAAAAGGAGAGAATGGGCGGTGATGATTATACAGATATAATCATCTAAATGTATATTTAAGCTAAACAAATATAGCCGATATGATGGGTTATTGTCAGCCATGCCATTAAAAATCACTTTCGTGCTGACATTTTTCTCAATGACGCAAATCAGGATAAACAAAAAGACAAACGGTGTATAACCATAGTACACTTGTAACAGCCTGTAGAAAGTCCCACGAAAAATATCGGTGGGCTCTAAACTCTAAGGATATGAACGAATAAGGACCATGGTGCTTATCAAGCGCTCCTCCCTAGAAATTTTGAAGTATTTCATGCTTACAAGCTTCGAGATAAACCCTGATGACGTTTCATACCTTAACTACCGCGCTTTAATATATAAAAATATAATGTATTACCACAACGTTTCAAAATATATTGTCATATTCCAGTGTTAAAACTCTTTTGAGAATGCCAAGACGATAGTGAAAATTAGCATAACAAAATTAAAAGCTATCCAAAAAGGATGATTCTGGAAGTGTAGGTGTAAATAAACGTCATCATACTTGAGGATAAGAAGGTTTTTTCGTGTGTGTGTTTGTGCTTTGTAAATAGCTGAGACTTTTCTCGTGAAAAAAAAAATCGCTTACGACTATGATTTTCTAGATTAGTTGGAGCACTTGATAGGCAAACAGGAGGTTGCGTGTTCAAATCCCGTCTGGAGCTCAGATATTTTCCAAGAAAAATTTATCTTGACGTAAAAATAATTCCAGTCTTTGAGGTTTATAGTGATTATCATTACGTACCGGATATTTGGTGACCACCTTCTAAGTATCCAGTCTCTTATCCACCGTTTTTGCCATTAGAGCAATATTTATTTTTTCTCCAACTTCTTCTGTTTGCGCATTAACATCAGAGGTCGACACGAAGCATTTAAATTATGACAAATGATCAAAACCATTTTGACAACTCCCAACGCACATTTAGAAAAGAATTGTTCATTAAAAAAGAGAGGAAAAAAAAGACTTTAAGCTCCTAAATTAGACGTGAGGATAAGAGAAAAATATCAAATGCCCTTGGCAGGATTCGAGTTGGTTAACACATCGGACTAGAATACCGAAGACGTGGGTTCGAATCCTGCCAAGGGCATTTGATATTTTTCTCTTATTCTCTCTACTTCATTATATTACACCGAACGCATAATTTATTACTACTAAATTAGACGTGGTTGAGCTTATGACATTTCTTGACATTTTTTCATGAATTGAAAAAAATAAGTTTATATTTATATCCCAGATTTTCCAAGTCTAGAGAGTTCTAAGTCGCTTATTCAAAGAAGTATAAAACCTACAAGAAATGAAACTTTGATCGAGAAGTCTGGTTCCTCGATCATGTAGAATGATTTTTTGGGCTAAAGTTTCTATTGAGATTCTTTACAGCGTATTGTTTTTATCCTGAATAAACATTTGTGTTTCTTAAAATGAATAAAAATCCTTGAATAGGACATTTAAAAAGATATATTGCTTACCAAGTGCTGCCTTCTATTAATTTCACTACATTTAAACGTTATTAATTTAAAAAATTTAAATGTAATTTGTTTTTAAAAAAAGGTAAAAAATTTGAATTAAGAATAAAATTTTTTAAATAATTTAAAAAAATATTTTATAATTATTAGTTAAAATTTATTTGATTATTAATTTAAAACAAAAAATTATTTTAAATAAAAATTTTAAAAGCGTAAAAAAATTAAAACTGAAAAATTTAGACGTACCAACAACTCTGTCAACAGCGAACGATTCCTGTAGCATTCACGAACTATGAATGGAGACCACCTTTAGCTTGAGCGTCTTTAACTGCTGCCTGTCAACTTGAAGATAAAACATTTTTGATGTATATGATAGCTGCTATATTAATAATAATCATTTTACTGGCTATGTTTATTGAAAAGTCTTTTTTGTGACCTGTCACAAGGAAATTGTCAAAAGTGACGTGATAACTGCGTTTTAATTTCGAACTTTTATAAAAACCGAATATATATTGCTTGTTTTGTTCAATACAAAGGGTTCTGTAATTATATATATATATA